CCCCAAAACCCCAAAACCCCAAAACCCCTGCTGGTCACAACAAATTGAAATTAGAATATGATTAGATATATCAAGGTTGAGCTAGGTGTGCAACAGGGATTTATGACTGATTTCCATATGCTGCATGTAGAAGGTTTTTCGGAGTCATCACACTATTCTCCATATTTTTAGAGTCTCATGGGTTTCAATCGTTGCTAGGCTAAATTTTAATAAGAATACATACTTTTGTAGCACTAAATTTATAGATAGGTACACCTCTTCTAGTCATCTTTACATGCTTCTTATGAAATGGCTCACTTGTGAGAGGCCGGAAGGTGCTTGCTTTGAAGGTAAGAAATGATGGGGCATCTTCATCATCTATATTAGCCTCATTCTGACCTTTTTTAATCTCACCAGAGGGATCCCTTTTCATTCTTTTTGCTGTGGATAGTCTCTTTTGATTCACTATCTTCGTTCTGGGATCGATATCAAGAGCACTGAAGGGCAGCAAACTTTCCTTCTTGGGCTTCACCTTCTGATTGCCAAACCTCTGATTATAATTATTGGGAGTCTTAGGAGAGTTTAACTGAAAACTCTGAGGAAGCTGCGATTTTACCTTAAAATCTTTTCCAGAAGGCCTATAGATAGGCTTACTTGCAAAATTTTTGAAACTCTTGATGCTTTCTTTCTGTATCATGTTTCTTTTAAAGCTGCTAGATCTATTCCCTCGAATCAACTGGCTACACTGAAGCAACTTATAAGGCTCCTTCAGGTTTTTAGGGAAACTAAGGACTTCACTCTGAGGGTTTATACGGTTAATAATCCCGAATAGGTTCTTGTTATCCAGCCTCACAGTTTTGTTCAGCAGATTTGAAGCATCTCCATTATTCAGATTGAACAAGTCGATCTTCTGGTCAATTATTTGTGAGAATGCTGTCTCATTACTCATAGGTCTCCTTGCCTGTAACCTTAGATGACTGGTATTTATTCTCCTGCCAGGATTATCGCCGAAATGCAACTTTGAAGCTTCTGAGAATTGCTTTGAAATTTTTGAGAAAAAACTCTTATTTTCCTTCTTAGATTGCTCTTCTTGGAGTAGCTTAAGTTCTCTGTACTTAAGAATCTTAGGATCAAGAGGGTTTCCAGTCAGTGAAAGAGCTCTTTTATGTTTGCCTACTTTTGTTGAGCTGTAAACAGGAGACTTATAGAAGCCTCACTCAGTACGGTTGTGGTTGGAACCTGCAGAAACATAACACAATGATTTACTTTTGCCTTGACTGGTCTTGCGTCCCCACTTTCCCTAAGTATAGTTAAAAAGTTCTTACTGGAGGTGTCTTCATCAAGGTAAAGTTTAGGTAATTCTTCATTCCTTCGGTTCCAAGCGAGAGCTTGTCGCCTGTGAATACCTTCTTTACATCACTGTCAGGGTCTAGAGATGTTAGTAAGGTTATTTAGCAAGCTTTAAAGTAGGATTACCTTTGACCTGTATCATATCCTCAGAATCTATAAACCGGTTACTTCAGAATGCTTACCATCTAGCTCATATTCGGAGCTATACTTCTGCTTATACTTGGTCTTGTACTCTTCAACTGTGATATTTTGGGAAATTTTTGAATATCTGGGTTGTGATAGGCTATTTGGTGCGAAGTCTATGCCAAAGTTAGCACAAATAAGCGGAAAAATCTTACTTTTATGACTATTCTCGCTTGATGTATCGCCATGCTCAATAGGGTCAGTCTGGTTAAGCTCTTTCCTGTGCTGCTCAACCTTATCTTTCCGAGTTGGCCTAGATGTATATTGGTTGAAAGTCTCATTCGCTTCGATATAAATCATGTCATTTTCTCTGTTCTCAGCATTTGATGAACGGAAAGTTGGCTGATACATATTCTTCTTTGGAAATGAGATGAAAGCAGAGGTATTATCTGAAGCCATGTTTTGCTTTTTATTCTTTAACCATTTGATATATCGCCCATTTATCCCAAGCTGTTTACTTCTGTAACAAGAGTAAGGACATCACCATTATTGAAGAAGGAATTTAGGGGCTTACTCAACAGTCTGGTTTTTATAAGCTCATTCCTTTGATATAGTGACTGAATTCCTCTCGATCCTCACACATTTTTTAATATTGTTGCACAGGTCACCGTTATGGTGCCGAATGATGATACTCTTGTTGATAGGGGCATCAGTGGTTAGCATATCATAGAGATACTTCATCTCAATCGATTTTATGCCCTTGAGCTCTACACAATTTATCCAGGCTAGTGAGAAAGTTACCTTTAGAAATAAGCCTAGGATTCTCATTGCTGGTCTTAGACTCTGTATCCCTAGTATGTTTAGAACAGTAATTTACAATTTATTTTGCTCAAAATTAGCTGTCTGGATCAGGATGCCCTCTTGGCCTTCCTTGGCTCTATTCCTACCCTGGCTCTGTGAGGTGATATCAAAGCTGTCAGTTCGGTCTGTGCGGTCGTACGGAGACTGAGGAGTCCTTTTGTCACTAAAAGACTTCTTCTCACAGTCGTTAATACTTGTATGTGCATTCTTCATAGTACGAGGATTTTGATTTAAGTTATGGAGCTGGTCTATGTATGAAGACTCATAGACATCTTCAAAATCTTGAGCTTCAATACACATGTTCTTGGTATTTGTTTCGAGAGGTTTCTGGGGCTTATGATTGCTATTTTGATTATCAAGAGCTGAAACCTTCATAAGAAATTTAGAGTGAAGTTACTAACTTACCTAATATCAATGCGACTGCTATCTTTACTATTCTGGGTTGGCAAAGCCACATTATCACATGTATTACTATGATCATTCTGGATAGTGATGGGTCTAGGGATCTCTTTCTTATGTGTTTTCTTTGGGTTCTTCACACTCAGTTTCCTGCTGATGACCTCTAAGCTAAAGTCCATACTAAGTTGAGGACTCTTTAAAGGCTTCCGAACTTTCTTGGCTAAGCCATTATCTATAAATCCTGTATTATGAGCTATTCAATTTCTTCAGTTTAAAAAGCTTTAATAGGCTAGAAGAGAATTATGGCCTTCATTCATCGATGATATTACTGATTGTGGTGACTACCCGCACTCAGCAGGGATAAGGAAGGTCTAAATATATACCAAATTCTACAAAACACCAAGTGAAGTATCGACTCCTCTATCCTCTCTATAATGACTTTCTTACTTTATATTAGTCCTATTAGATTTCTGTGATTTAGGTGAGAGACCTTGCTCGAACCCGATCTCAAGCCTAGTGGGCCATCTGATTGCTGATTTTGAGACATTAGCGCTCTTCTTGACAATATTCTTAATATTATCTTCATAAACCTTGACCTGGCTGAGCTCCTCCTTCTGTTGGAGTAATTTCTCAACTGAGTAGAGGACCTCCTTGGGGTCGCTCTTCTCAGTTGGGCTTTCTTTAGGTTTCAGGCTTGTAATAACTTTCCTATCAGGCACAACGTCTTGTTTCTGGTTCATGTCACACCCTGCTGGTTTATTTATTCAATAAATTATTTTATCTTGGGGTTTTGGGGTTTTGGGGTTTTGGGGTTTTGGGG